CCCCAAAACCCCAAAACCCCAAAACCCCAAAACCCCAAAACCCCGTATCAGGAAAATATAAATGAAAGTTATAATAAAAGGGCAACACATCTTTAATAATTAATTAGAATGGATATGAAATTACTTTTGTGTAAAACAACGAACCAAAGTGATCAGGTCACTAATTTTATCAGAAGATCTGACGCAAACTGCTGGGGAAGCAGCATGCTGGCTTGATCCGAGTGTTCCGATAAATATTACAGAGCTGACTTGGTAACAAGAATCCCAACCCCTCAGGCTATATTAAGAGACTTTGAACTAGGTAAGACAGCTCCAAAGCACCCTATTAACCCCATACTAAACTCTACAGCCATCATCATGCTTAGTTTAATTGCAAAAAATTTGAAATTTACCCTTCATCTTCATTTTGACAATTTTATGACTAATTTATTAACGTTACACACTTCTTTTAAAGACAAATTGTGTTTTTAAGAATTTCATATAACCATGATTTAGTTGAATATAATCTAGAATAAATCGATGCTTTCAGACAGTATCATAGTCCTGGAAAAATGCGGGAAGCATTCATCCCTGACTTTGAGTCATTCAAACAACGTCTTGACTCTCCCAAAGGTAACACCCATGCTCTAGCTTTGACCTTATTGAGAGTCAGTTGGGGAGGACTCTGATGCTGATTTTCTTGTTGAAAAGCTTTATCAAAATGTATTTTCTCAGATTATATGATCTGGATAACAATTTATTTCCTCTATTTTAGAAAAGAAATAACACTTCCTTCTCCTTCTTTCTACATTTAGATGGTTCATTATTCTAAATTTTAAGTGATAGAATATTTAGCATTGCTAAAGCTCTATTGTGTTGTCTGACCAGAATTTAGTTCGGAAGTATCAGAATTTTAGAAATCTCTAAATTTTCAGATACCTTCTATAAATTCTCACATAATCTTTAGAAGAATATGAGTATGCCAAAAGAATTAGAGACTGGGAGAAATATTGCTGTGTCTCCATTGAAACAAAGGAGTTGCTTAACATTCTCTTGGAATCAAACCTCTACAAGCAATACAGCAAGCAGAAGATGTACAGAACCTTTGAAAATATGAAGGATGGACTAGAACAGGAGTGCTAAATTTCTTTACCTTGGGCTCAAAAGAAGTACAAAAAAATCAAAGAGATGATTGAGAAATCTTGGTACAAGAAACTCCTAGCCAAATTGAGACAAAAAGAAGAGCGTAATAGGAAACAAGAGAAAAATTAAATAAGCTAGAGAAAGAAAATATGCAGCAAATATAGAAGATCCAATCTCAAACCAGAAAAATCAGATCTAATCAAATACAAATAAATCTCTATAAAGTAGAAGAGCTCAGGAAGGACGCAAGGATTAAAATCCAGATAGACACTGCCAACCAAAGGAACGAAAAGATCAAATCTCTAAAAGCTGACAAAGATTCACTCACTGAAGATAAATCAAGGCTGCAACATACAATACTCAACTCATACAATACTATTCAAGAGCTAAGCATCAAGAACACTCAGAAATACTTTCATCGAATTATAAAAAAGAACTCACGACGCTAAAAGATAAGTCTAACTGAACAAAGAAATCTATTTTAATAGAGCTGATTCTTGAATTAGAAGGTTTTAGTTCTTGATAAATACTGGAGATTTTGTCTTGTAGAGTGGTGGTGGAGAAATCAGAATGTTAGAAATGATACTTTGGGTTTTGAGGTCTATATAGCTTGTTTGGGATCATTATTGTGTGCATGGGGATGGTGTATAGGTTTTGAGAGCTTTTAAGGATTTAATTCTACAAAATTAAGCTTCTATATACTACCAGTGTTGACACACTATCAAATATACACATTGTGGTAAATATATTAGCTACATTTTGACATAATCTTATAATCAAATCTATGTTGAATGCTTGGGGTTTTGGGGTTTTGGGGTTTTGGGGTTGGGG